TAATAAAAGTATGAATAAACTATTAAGTATTAGTGAATCTATTGTTTTGATGGGATACTCATTCTACGAAATTAGTTTCAAAGATCCAACCGTCAAACATGTTTGTATATACTTCGAGATCGCATACGTCAAAAATTAAAAAAAACAAACATTCAGAGATCAAGTAACGGGACAAAACTTTTCGACGGTTATAAACGAAAAATCACTATTTAACGGTCATTTTAACTCCGATTTTGATGTTTTTTTACAACCACACTCCTTGACCCTATATGAATACAATGATTGAATTCGATCTTCAATTTAAAATATTTACACTAATGGATACCACAAAATCTTATATTATACTTAATAAAAGTATAAATAAACTATTAAGTATTAGTGAATCTATTGTTTTGATGGGATACTCATTCTACGAAACTAGTTTCGATGATCCAACCGTCAAACATGTTTATATATACTTCGAGATTGCATACGCCAAAAATTGCAAAAAACAAACATTCGGAGATCAAGTAACAGGACAAAACTTTTCGACGGTTATAAACGAAAAATCACGATTTAACGTGATTTTAACTCCGATTTTTGATGATTTTTTACAACTACACTCCTTGACCCTATATGAATACAATGATTGAATTCGATCTTCAATTTAAAATATTTACACTAGTGGAAACCACAAAATCTTATGTTATACTTAATAAAAGTATGAATAAACTCTTAAGTATTAGTGAATCTATTGTTTTGATGGGATACTCATTCTACAAAACTAGTTTCAATGATCCAACCGTCAAACATGTTTGTATATATTTCGAGATCGCATACACCAAAAATTGCAAAAAACAAACATTCAGAGAGCACGTAACGAGACAAAACTTTTCGACGGTTGTAAACAAAAAATCACGATTTAACGGTTAATTTAACTCCGATTTTGATGATTTTTTACAACTATACTCCTTGACCTTATATGAATACAATGATTGAATTCGATCTTCAATTTCAAATATTTACACTAGTGGATACCACAAAATCTTATATTATACTTAATAAAAGTATAAATAAACTATTAAGTATTAGTGAATCTATTGTTTTGATGGGATACTCATTCTACGAAACTAGTTTCGATGATCCAACCGTCAAACATGTTTATATATACTTCGAGATTGCATACGCCAAAAATTGCAAAAAACAAACATTCGGAGATCAAGTAACAGGACAAAACTTTTCGACGGTTATAAACGAAAAATCACGATTTAACGGTGATTTTAACTCCGATTTTGATGATTTTTTACAACTACACTCCTTGACCCTATATGAATACAATGATTGAATTCGATCTTCAATTTAAAATATTTACACTAGTGGAAACCACAAAATCTTATGTTATACTTAATAAAAGTGTGAATAAACTCTTAAGTATTAGTAAATCTATTGTTTTGATGGGATACTCATTCTACAAAACTAGTTTCAATGATCCAACCGTCAAACATGTTTGTATATATTTCGAGATCGCATACACCAAAAATTGCAAAAAACAAACATTCAGAGAGCACGTAACAAGACAAAACTTTTCGACGGTTGTAAACAAAAAATCACGATTTAACGGTTAATTTAACTCCGATTTTGATGATTTTTTACAACTATACTCCTTGACCTTATATGAATACAATGATTGAATTCGATCTTCAATTTCAAATATTTACACTAGTGGATACCACAAAATCTTATGTTTATACTTAATAAAAGTATGGTATAGTACTATTGTTTTATTTTTTTTCATAATTATTTTGGTAAACTTCTCATAATTTGAATGATTTTTAATGTTTGGTTTTTTCTATGCTTAGTTTATGCAGAAGATAGTTATGACGTGGAAAACCTTACTGAAAACATCATCAACATAACTCTTGAAGGCAATAGATCAAGCCAAAGTTCTAATGCAATTTCATGATGATCGATGTAAATCGAGGATTTTGTAAATTGAGGTTTAAACTTTTGAGAAAGATTTCACAACCTTGAAAACAAAAACTGTTTCATTTTGCATATCCTTGCACATTTAAAATTTGTAATAGATTAGTAGTGTATGTATTATTTTTTTATTATGCTCTTATTTTCGAGTGTAGATGTAGTACTTAAACGACAAATGTGTTTTAATGTTTTGAAGTAATATTTATGTGGCAATGTGCGGTATGTGCAAATTTAAGAAAAAAAATATATTTTTCTTAACGGGTCATAACGGGTCATAACGGGTCGGGTCACTTTACCCGTTGGGTAAAGTGACACGACCTGTTAAGGACCCGTTAAGATAACGGGTGTGACACGACACGACTCGTTAAGATAACAGGTGTTACACGAAAACGACACGAACACGACTGACACGACTCGTTTGCCAGGCCTAGTTGCAATATCATACCTTCCATCAGTTGTCAGTCAATTCCTTTGTTAAATGCTAACGTGTCATGAGGCGAGGCCCACTTTCTATTAAAAATTAATAAAATATTAACTAAATATTAAAAAATTAAAAAACAAAACCCAAACCCATATCCCATCCCTCCCTCCACGCCCCCTCCCAGCGAATCCCACCTTCCCATCTTCCTCATCTGTCCCCCCTTCCAAACCCATAACCCCACTTCCCCCGCAACCCCCCCCCCCAATTTCTCCCTCCCGAGCCTCCCAACCACCTCATCTCCTCCACTCTCTTCACCTCCCCTCCCATTCAAAACTTAAAAAAAAAAAAAAACCAGTTGAGGTGGTTCAACTTCGACAGGAAGGAAGGGTTGGATAGGGTGCGACAATCTGGACAATCTAGGTTCAAATTTGTTTCTTTTTTTTTTTTTTTTTTTTTTAAGTTTTGAATGGGAGGGGAGGTGAAGAGAGTGGAGGAGATGAGGTGGTTGGGAGGCTTGGGAGGGACAAAGGGCGGGGGAAGTGGGGTTATGGGTTTGGAAGGGGGGGACGGATGAGGAAAATGGGAAGGGGGGATTCGCTGGGAGGGGGCATGGAGGGAGGGATAGGATATGGGTTTGGGTTTTGTTTTTTAATTTTTTAATACTTAGTTAATATTTTATTAATTTTTTAATAGAAAGTGGGCCTCACCTCATGACACGTCAGCATTTAACAAAGGAATTGACAGACAACTGATGGAATGTATGATATTGCAACAAATTCGAATATAAGGTATGACTTTGAAACTTTTTAAAGACGAGGTATGAAAATGTTAATGACCCAATAGTTGAGGTAGTTTTATGTAATTTACCCTTATATTTTTACTTAGTATTATTCTTCAGTAGTATTATTCTTCATTAGTATGTAAGATATCAAAGATTTTAGGTTGGATTCTCGTTAGGAGGCTTCAGAGGGAGAAAATGGGGTTGCAGTTCTGGGTTTGGAAGGGGGGACGGATGGGGAAGATGGGAAGGATGGGTTTCTGCTGCTAGGGGGTGTGAGGATGGGTTCTAGGTTTGGGTTTTTTTCTTTTTTTTCCTTTTTTTTTAAATTTAGTTAATATTTTAATAGAAAATGGGTCATGTCTCATGACACGTTAGCATTAAATTGACAGACAACTGACGAAAAATACAACATTGCAACAAATTTAAAGATAAGGTATAACATTGAAACTTTTTTAGTAAAGTACAAAAAACTACCTCAACTATTGGTGTCACGACACCTTCATACCTCATCTTTTAAAATTAACAATGTCATACCTCATCTTACGAATTTGTGCCAATGTTAGACATCCGTCATTTTTTCTGTTAATTTCTCTGTTAAATGCTGACGTGACCCGACACGTGTCCCACTCACTAATCCAACTGGATCAAAAAATAATTAAATATTCAAAAATTAAAATATATATATAATCTCTCTCTCCTCCCCCCCCCCTTTCTTGCCTCTCTCTCTTCTCTGCATCCCAGAAGACCTAAAACCCCTTCCCACTCGACTCCTCCCCCCCCCCGACCCCTTCCCACCCATCATCCACCACCCTCTCTCCCCTCTCTATCTTGCCTCTCATTCTCCTCTCCACCGTAGTCTCCTTCCTCCCCACTTCTCTATCTCTCCGTGCCCAGAACCGCCTAAAGCCACTTGGGTTTTTTCATCCGCCAAACTCTTGCCCATTGACCTGTGTCCCCCCTACTACCCTATAGACTCAGACTTCGTCGCAAATCAGACCGGTTCCCAATCCGAGTACAGGTCGACGTCGTCGGTTTGGGCGTCCAGGTGCAGATCGAGGATGGCAAAGTGAGGGAGGCGAAGTAGTCAAGGAAGATGATGTCGTGGAACGACGTCATTGCGATCTCCAGATCAAGGGTGGCGGAGTAAGAGAGGCGGAGTAGTCGAGCAATATTGGGTTCTTCGTTTTAGGGTTTTCAAATTGCGGCAACAATTGTTGCAATGGGAATGTGGGTTTTGTTCCTCCGGGGTCTGGGTCTTCTAGGATACAGAGAAGAGGGAGCCGAGAAAGGGGGAAAGGGTGGTGAAGGACGGGTGGGAAGGTATCGAGTAGGAAGGGGTTTGGGGTTGTAGAGAAGAGAGACGAGAAAGGGGGAAGAGAGAGAAGAGACAGTGAGAGAGATTTAATATTTTTTTTTTAATTTTTGAATATTTTATTATTAAAAATATATTTTATTATTTTTAAGTATTTAACAGAAAAATTAACAAAAAAAACTAATGAATACTTGACATTTACATAAATTTGTAAGCTAAAATATAACATTGTCAATTTTAAAAAATAAGGTATAAAAATATTATGACATCAATAAATAAAGTAATTTTTTATACTTTACCTAAACTTTTTTAAGACAAAATATAAAACTATAACAATATTTAAAGTAATTTTATGTAATTTACCCAAAACATAACTACCTTTCTTTCTAAATACCCAATTCGATTGGACAATTTGTCAACATAACTACCTAACCGGACTCAACCTATTATTTGATCAAGTACGAATCAACTTTATTAATCCAACGTTGTAACAACTTGTCAACATAACCACCCAACACAAAAGCATCGAAATACAATTTCAATAGAAACAAAATAGATAAAATTAACAGAAATTTCATTCAAAAGTTCGAATGAAAACAGATTCACGTTCCATTAATATCCAAACTACAAACATTAAATTTCTGAAATTCGTTAACTAAATCTACCGACCAATTTACAGAAATCCCCAGTCCGATACCACAACAACCTAACCCCCGAACCCGTACAGAGTCCTACCCTGCCTCTTGAGCGCATAGACGACGTCCATCGCCGTCACAGTCTTCCTCCGGGCATGCTCGGTGTAAGTCACAGCATCCCGGATCACATTCTCCAAGAAGATCTTGAGCACTCCGCGGGTCTCCTCGTAGATGAGGCCGCTGATACGCTTGACGCCGCCACGGCGAGCCAGACGGCGGATGGCGGGCTTGGTGATACCCTGGATGTTGTCCCTCAGCACCTTTCTGTGCCTCTTGGCTCCTCCTTTGCCCAACCCCTTGCCTCCCTTGCCGCGTCCAGTCATTGCCGCGGAAATGAAATTAGGGTTTGATTTTGGATCTGGTATTCAAATTGAGAGAGCGAGTTACCGTGACGGAGAGGTCAGGTGGAGGGCTTTATATAGAGAGGTTTGGGAGCTTTGATACGTGGGTTGTGTTTCTTTACATGAGATTTGGGGGGAATATGAGGACTGTTGGATTGGGGGCAATCGACGGTTAAGGATTGCGATCCGTGCCGTGGGTTTGCAGATTGTGGGTTCACGAGGATCAATGACGTGGCGAGTTTTGTGTGTTTTCGATAATAATGACTGTGAACCGTTGGATATAAGCGTTATCTACGTCCGACAAATCGGGGTGACTCGGATTTAGTTGATGCTTGAAAATGGTTCAAGTTCAACTGCAAGATTGAAAATCCTTCCAATTGATGTCTGAATACCAAACGAGACCTCAAGGACAAATGACTCATTTCCCTCATTGTTCAATAAAATTTGCACGTAATCTAACTCTGCGGCAAATCCGTGGATTTGCCGCAGAGTTCCAAATTTGCAGGGAAAAAATTAGACGACTGAAGGAAATAAGTCATTATCGTTGAATTGCAATGATTAGTCTACATGGGTTACAAAAGCACTCTAAATAATCATGACAATACAACGATTAACTTAAATCCAACGCGTAGAGTAGAAACGATAGATCCTCAGTTCAGGTTGTCTCCTGTACATACTCGTGCAGTTTTCCAAAATGGTTATCATCGAGTAGCGGTCAGCTTGACATGAGTTTACAGCCTCTAATCTCTCCCATCCGTGTTAGAATCCCTGTAAAAATAACCGACACGTGCCTCTTTGCTTTTAGTACGCCCCAAACTCCTTGAGATTCTTGTTCCAACCGGTAACCTGTGTTCAGATTCTACAATGACAAAGTCAAATGTTAAACTGGTGATTCTTGTCAACGTAATTTGAATTTTTTTGAGATTGTATTCAGCTCACTTTGGATACCAACAATTCTTACAACAAGGTAGGAAATGAGTCTAAAATTTTGCTAGAAAACCAACCTCTATCATCGTATTCTGCTTTTCTGAGACCCAGATTTGCTGCCTGAAAACATGCGACGCATGCAATAATCGGCATGTATTACAGTAAACCAAACCAAGAAGCAGATTAAATCCACAAAACGGTAAGGAATCTATAGAGTCAGTAGTCAATGAAAGAAACCCGGAAAGCACCAAGTTAAAATCAGTATCAACCCCCCAGTTGCAGTTTATTCTATTCATATATAGCCAGCTAGAGAATACCAGAAGCAGTCGACTTTAAACGCTACTATGTTTAGGAGGGAAAAGAGTTGCCAGCTAAATACAGTTTATAAGGGACAAACCTCTTGATGGTGTTACTACAGGTCGGTCATCCTGAATTCCAGTAATGTTACGATCCTAAAAATAAAACCCAAGAGAGTGTCAATGTACCTTCAAGCTAATAATTAGTCAGGCCATAAAATTATGGAAGTAGACATAAATTATAAAAAGAAATTGTGTAGCAAACCCCCCTACATAGTGTTGTACGAGTACGGCTCAAAAGAGTTATTTTTCTTTTTGGATAAGTTGGTATGCTTTGTAATTTTGATAAATCAAACCCTACTACATATTTTCCACCTATCCACCAGTGAGCGTGCAGCATACATGGTTGTTGCAGGTGAAAGCTAACATAAAAGGAAAATGAATAAAGCAAGAAAGGAAAGGTAGGGAAAAACCAAGTCATAGACTGCTGCTTGATTCCGCCAGAATTCCATGGTGGGTAGAAGTAGTCTCCCTGCAACATAGAGAAATCACATTTTTATAACTTTCATTGTTTGCTGATACACTGTCACAAACAAAATCAATTAAACAAAGTGATATTGACAAAAGATAATAATAAATAGATCAATAGAACAGTACAAATTAAAATTCTGTTGTTTTAACAAAATACAAAACTGAAAATACCACACAGACATGTTTCAAATGCTATGAACCATTCATTTGAACAGAAATGTGCATCCAAAGTTCCCTCATATATCTAGCCATGGAAACTATAACTGGGCTTGTGTATTTCATTTGGCAATGATATTAACTGACAGACTAAGGATAAATATAGCAAAAGAAAAGTAGAACCGTTGTGTGCTTGAATGTGTGTGAAGGGGAGAGAGAGAGAGAGAGAGAGAGAGAGAGAGAGAGAGAGAGAGAGAGAGAGAGAGAAAGAGAGAGAGAGAGAGAGAGAGAGAAGAGAGAGAGAGTCGCACAAATTCACCTGTTCTGGACCGTTTCAAATTCAAAGATTCTGGAGAAATGATAGACACTTTCTTGTTCTCCACTGGAGTGGGAGTTTCCTAAGCAGACGTTAAAAAGTCAGCATAAATGTGATAATAACAAGACCATTGGAGATACGTGACAATTAACTTACTTTTACTACAGCCAGCTTACCGCGGCATCAATGGTTGTTTTCCTCTTAGCTTTCTTCCTGGGTGTGTTTTCCTTCTTGGCATCAGTTTTTCCTTCTCCAACTGCAATATTGGCAGTTTTTCTCTTACTCTTTTTCCTGGATGTGTTTTCTGTTTTGGTGTCAATTCGTCCTTCTCCAACTACAATATTGGTAGTTTTTCTCTTACTCATTTTTCTGGGTGTGTTTTCTGTTTTGGCATCAATTCGTCCTTCTCCAACTACAATATTGGTAGTTCTTCTCCTAGTTTTCTTCCTGGATGTGTTTTCTGTTATGGCGTCAACTGCCCCTTCTCCAACTGCAATATGAATTTGTCAGTTTGATTAGTTCAAGAGAAGGCCAGAGGGTGAAAAAGCTTATCAAATTGTTCCCAGCATGCACCCTACCTTGAGCTGTTAGTCCCTGTTTTCCAATGCCGGTGGGTTCCAAATCTTCTAGACAGTCAAAATCTAGTCTTTTTACCACGTTCCCGCTGTTTGGTTCTTGAAGCTCTGAATCAGAAGGCTGGGACATACTTCTCCCTCCTACTTCACAATAATCATTTTTTGAAGTGTCGCCCAGAGTTTTAGGGACTGTGGGAATAAAATCCACTATAGTTGGTTCTTGAAGCTCAGGATCTGAAGGACGGGACATACTTCCCCCTCCTACTTCACAATTATCATTTTGTGAAGTGTTGCTCAAAGTTTTAGAGACTGCCGGAACAGAATCCAATGTAGTTGGTTCTTCAAGTTCAGGATCTGAAGGACAAGACATACTTCTCCCTCCTACTTCACAATTACCATTTTGTGAACAGCTCACAGTTTTAGCAATTGCTGGAACAGAATCCACTGTACTTGGTTCTTGAAACTCAGAAGCAGAAGGATGGGACATACTTCTCCCCTTCCCTTTATAATTGTCATTTTCTAAAGTGTTGCTCGCAGTTTTAGAGACTGCTGGAACTGGAACAGAACCCACTGTATTTCTCTCACAGTTCAATCCACTTTCCAGCATTTGCTTCTCTTTCCCTTTACTCCTTAAAAGATTTGACAAACTTCTGAACAGTTCACCCAAAGAAAGTCTTGGATCTTCCTCTGATATGTCCACTTTCTCTCCAGACTGAGTGGTTGCAACTGATGCTCCATCAAGGTTCTCGATGGCCTCTGACGCCACACTAGATTTTGTAATCTTATTCTTCATAAAGCATCTGGATACGGGTTTCTTCTGATTGCTTTCCAGATTCGTTGGTCTACCAATACTCTGAAAATCACCTGATCCAAAATTCGCTCTTCCTGTTTCCTCCTCAGCAGCATGCTTGGGCATGTCATCAACTTTTGTGTCATCAACAGCTACATTTATAAACCGCTTAGAAGATTGCTTTGCGACTTCAACATCATGCCTATCTTCAGAAGAGAGCTGCTCATGTGGAGGTTCTTCCAGATCAAAATGCACAGCAGTTGGAGCAGAACTTTCTGTGCCTGCATCCACTCCTGAGAAAGAGAGAAAATATTTAAATGCAAAGAAAATTTTGGAATGAATGGTACACATTTGGATATTTTAAGTGTTACTTCCCGGAGGAGCAGCTAACTTGCCTGAATGAGAAGTACTTTCAGGACCAGCTCCAGCAATGCTAGAATCTCCTCCAAAGAACTTTACAACACATTGTTCCCAGTGAGGAGGAAAGCCAAAAACAAAATGGCTGAAAACCTATTTAGGATCAGCCACAAACATCAATTGGGAATGTCCCAAATTTTAATGATATAAGATGGAATCCCACACATGTAACTTCTGAGAATATGTTATGCAACAACAAAAAATTACAGGTCGACCCTTCTACTGGTTAGCAGGGCTCCTAGACGAACAAGCAAAGCTACGGCTGAATTGGCCAAAGTAAATTTACTAGAATTTGATACAGACACATTGAGTGCTCATCATTCACTTGTGCTTGTAAAACCAAGACAAAGGGTAATTTCGCATTCTCCATAATTATACTTAATGCCGATATTCATAGCTAATATACTAAGTTACCACTAATTGATTGTTCAAAGCATCAATATCCCAATCTGGATCCGAATTAATGACGGTTCCCAATACTCAGTACCTACAGCATTTGTGAGTCCCCAACACTCTCAAATGCACGTATTTTTCAACACATCCATTCAAACCCAAAATTCAAAACTAAATTTGTACTGAAAAAAACAATATTCGCAATGTCAACCAAAATCAGTAAAGAAGAGCAATATTAACAACTATCGAGTACTACCTCAGACGGAAACCCATTTTCGATAGTCTTCTGCTCGTTTATGAACCCTTTGATGGCTACACAGATGCCATCCACCGTCTCCAGAGTGAAAATATCGAATCTTTTACTTATTGGTGCAGACGAAAACACTCTCCTGGCTTCGTTCCTGAAATTCAACAGCACAATTAACAATTAAGTCCTTCAACAACAGAATTATAAAAACTAAGAGCTCAAAATAATCAAATTATAAAAATCAAAATAATAAAACCCTAGAACAGCGAAATGTATCTCACTCAATAGAAGTCACGCCGGCGACGGCTAGCCCCTTCCCTCCGACGTCATTTTCGGCTATAATCAACCACCAATCGTGCAGACATACCTTTAGAAATTCAAAAGCGAAATAGGGTAAAAATATTTTTCAATAGTTATGT